GGGGGGTGAGTGGAGGGAGTTGACCCTGGGGCTCCTCGTGGAGCAAAAAAGCTGGAGCGGAGAGAGAGGTGGCAAAGGCCCCATTGGCAGCAGTGGTTACAATGTGCCATTGCCTTTGCAGGGTTTGATACCAGCATCCTGCCCATCTGCAAGGACTCACTGGGCTGGATGTTCAACAAGCTGGACATGAACTATGACCTCCTGCTGGATCACTCTGAGATCAATGCCATCTACCTGGATAAGTATGAGCCCTGCATCAAGCCTCTCTTCAACTCCTGTGACTCCTTCAAGGATGGCAAGCTTTCTAACAATGAGTGGTGTTACTGTTTCCAGAAGCCTGGAGGTAAGGCAGAGGAGGATGCCATGCAGGGCCTCCGGCAACCATGCGAGGCAGGGGAAGACCACATAGCATTCATTGGGCAGAAGGACATGTTGAGAGAAAAAAATAGTTGATCCCATTTAATGGCAAACACGAAGACTCATTTCTCCCATTGTGAGATTCTCAATGTGAAATATACTATAAAATTATCTTAACCACCACTATCGCACCAATTCTCCATCTCCCCCTAGAGAGAGGCACTTGTCAGTTTCGCTGCGATTGAAAGGGGATTTATTCTGTGTGTCTTAAACAGGGGTATTTACTTATTGACTCCAGATAACTGAAGACATAAAAAGCAAGATTTGGGCAATACGAGTACATGGAAAAGATTGAGAGCTTTCTGATGTCACCCAAAGACAGACAGGAGAAGCAGGCTGCAAGGGAAATCTCAGGAGGAACTCGAAGACTCTCAGGGTCAAGGGCCCACTGTTCTGACTTTGTCCGTGGCACACCCTGGTCTAACTTTATTTTCCTGTACCTCGGCTTCCTGAGTGTAGGCCCAAGTGTGGTGGTCTACAATTCTTAGAACCAACAGGGACTGGCTCGAGTCTACAGCTAATTCCACAGAAAAACCTGGCCTAACCTGGATCAGGTAGCCAAGGTGACATATGCCAACATGACTGGCAGGACCACTCACTAGACGAAAAGGACAGCGATTCAGATGTGTCATAGTAGTTACATGTTGGGCCCTAACCATAAGGTTAGGCGTTCAAAACTACCTGTCACTCCTTGGGAGAAAGACAAGGCTTAAGACTCCCATAAAGAGTTGCAGTCTTTGAAACCCACAGGGACAAGGACAGTTCTACCCTGCCTGATAGGATCACTATGAACCTGAATCAACTGGATGGTAGTGAGTTCACTCACATGGAAGCATGCAAACTTTCTATGTATGTAAGCATGCATGCATACATGCACAAATAAAACATGCATGCAGGAGAACAATATAGGCATTTGAAGAGGGCATCCTGTGAAAAGTGTAAGTGCATGTGTATATGTTTATAGAATTATAAAATACAAGCACATCCCTAGAATCAGAATTACTGGCCCAAATGGTATGAGCATTTTAAATTTATGCAATTTTGCCAATCATCAATTTATGCTTTTACCAAAAATATCTAAGTATTTACTTGTGTCAGGCTGGGTTGTCTAGAGAAACAAAATCAGTGACAGACACACACACATAAGAAAGAGCTTTATATCATGAAGTAATCTTCTATCAAGAAGGCATCCAAGCCCAGTCCAACTCATGTCCATGATTCTAGCCACAGCCCTCCTGAGACTCACATACCTGTAGGCCGATGGCACAGAAAGGTGAAGCAGTATGCAGGAAGATCACCGGCTGGTGGGCACAGAGTTGCATGGACTTAACATTAGTAGGAACATGTCAGGGCACAGGCAGATTGGAGATCCCCTCCCAGGGTTGGAGACCCCATGTGGTGGCAGACACAGAATACGAGTAAGCAAGAAGGTAAAGAGCAGAGAGGAGAGGGAATTTCTCAGTCTCTCCCGTATAAGAAGGCCACACCCCCAAGAAGGCACCAACAGGCATGGATCTGATTAACAGACTGGATGCCACAACTACACTTTTATATAAGTTCAAGTTGAAATACAATCTAGTGACCACACTTCTCCATTGCATTGCCAAACTTTGTAATCATTGCTATATGGGGCATAGGATGAAGAAATTATAGAACCTTTATAGGCTTTATTTTTCCTTTCTTCTTATGAGTTAAGATTTTTTTTTATGTTGCCATCAACATTTCCACAACATTTTGTTCTACTTGAGCCCTTGGTATTGGCTTCTCTTTTTTCCTCTCCCTCCCCCCTCCCCCCATCGTGAATCATTCATCAGTTATATATAATTATTATTTTGTGTCTTACTATATAAGATTTTTCTAATAAGTATAATGATTAGACTATATTAACATTAGATGACATTTTTTTCTTCTTTAAATAATTTTATTAGGGACTTGTACAACTCATCACAATCCATACATATATCCATTGTGTCAAGCACATTTGTACATTTGTTGCCAACATCATTCTCAAAACATTTTCTTTCTACTTGAGCCCTTGGTATCAGCTCCTCATTTTTACCCCTCCCTCCCCACCACCATGAAAAAGGAACAACAAGTGATCCAAAATCAATGTCAAGGAGGGTATAGGATGCCTGGTAGGGCCTGACCAAGGGCAATGTAACCAAGAGGAATTACTGAAACTCAAATGAAGGCTGATCATGATAGTGGGACAAGAGGAAAGTAAAAGAAAATAGAGGAAAGAACTAGGAGGCAAAGGGCATTTATAGAAGTCTAAATACAGGCATGTACATATGTAAATATAGTTATATATGAGGATTGGGGAAATAGATCTATGTGCATATATTTATATGTTTAGTATTAAGGTAGCAGATGGACATTGGGCCTCTACTCAAGTACTCCCTCAATGCAAGAACACTTTGTTCTATTAAATTGGCATTCCACGATGTTCACCTTCCCGACACGATCACTGAAGACAAAATCGGTGTGTGTTAGTCTGAGTACATTAGAGAAACAAATCCACAGAAACTCATATGTATAAGAGAGAGTTTTATATAAAGGGTAAGTGTACATTAAGGGATTATCCCAACCCAGTGCTGTCCAAGCCCCTAAGTCTAACATTAGCCCATATGTCTGACACTAATCTACAAAGTACTCCTCAATCTCACAAAACACATGCAATAATGCTGACTGCAGGAGGAAAGCCAAATCAGTGAAGGTGTAAGCATCTCAGCACTTGCAGGGGTCTCCACACAGCTGTTCCAGCACCCAGGTCTGCATCGGGGTAGGTCCATGTAGCTTCTCCTCAGGGATGTCTTACAGGAAGTGAGCCTTGCCAGCTGAAGCAAGGAACTGGCTAAGGCAGTTGCACCCTTGCCGATTATCAGAAAGCAAGAAACCCGAGAACTAGAAAGGTGAGGCTCACTGAGCCATTTATCTCTCCACCCTTCAATTAACCCCACATATGTTTATCAGCCAGGTTGGCACAATAAATTTAACTATCTCAGGGTGCATAAACAAATGTAGTGAAGAAAGCTGATGGTGCCCGGCTATCAAAAGATATAACATCAGGGTTCTTAAAGGCTTGAAGATAAACAAGTTACCATCTAGCTGAGAAGCAACAAAGCCCACACGGAAGAAGCACACCAGTCTGTGTGATCACGAGGTGTCAATGGGATCGGGTATTAGGCATCAAAGAATAAAAAATAATATCATTATGAATGAGGGGGAGTGCGGAGTGGAGACCCTAAGCCCATGTGTAGGCAACTGGACATCCCCTTACAGAAGGGTCGCAGGGACATGAGCCAGTCAGGGTGTAGTATAGCAATGATGAAACATACAACTTTCCTCTAGTTCTTTAATGCTTCCTCACCCCCCACTATCATGATCCCAATTCTACCTTACAAATCCAGCTATACCAGAGGATATACACTGGTACAGATAAGAACTGGAAACACAGGGAATCCAGGACAGATAAACCCCTCAGGCCCAATAGTGAGAATAGCTATACCAGGAGAATAAGGGGAAGGTGGGGTAGAAAGGGGAAACCGATCACAAGGATCTATATACAACCCCCTCCCTGGGGGACAGACAACAGAAAAGTGGGTGAAGGGAGACATCGGACAGTGTAAGACATGACAAAATGATAATAAATTATAGATATATGTGCTTTCTATTAGATTCTTGGATTTTTTGTGTGTGATTATTTTATGAACTTTCTCTACACTAAAGACCTGGGATTTTCCCAGTCATATGGGATATACCAAACTCATATATATTATATCTAATATAGATGTACATTTATTATAAATTTATATATTTATCGACCTGAATTTTTTCTTTTCAATGTTGCTAGGGAGAAATTTTAAAGTTTAAGATAGCTCTGTTTCTTAACATTTCATTTTTGTGGCTTTTAGGAGCCATGCAATTTGCATTAAACTTTGAAAAGCATTCTCCAATTTTAGTCAAGTGAATATTCTCTAAGTTTTTTAAGTATCTAGTGGCATAGTTGTTACACACTTGGCTACTAACAACAAGATCAGCAGTTCAGAACCACCAGTTGCTTCACAGAAGCAAGACAAGGCTTCCTGATCCCTTACAGGGTGACAGTCTAAGACACCCATAGGGGCCATTCTATCCTGTTCTGTAGGGTTGCTTTGAATAGGTGGCAGTACTTTTTTTTTGTTGTTGTTTATATCTTGGGATACTCTGGGTTTTATTTTGGTGTATGGTAGGTTTCTGCCTCTAGTCCCCACATGGTCTCCAGTTGACCTCTGTCATTGACTAACCTTTCTCTCTCCCGTGCGAAATGCTTCTTTATTATACATACTCTAATACATACTTACTCTAATCCAACATCTTTTGTCCTGTGCATCTGAGGGTTCATAAATCAGTTCCAAATTGCTTAAATCACAATGCTATACAACACTACCTTCTCCCATACTTTTAAGAGAATTGTCTTGGATATTCTTATATTTTTATTTTCCCCTTGAAACTTTATAGAGTTCATTTACTCAATTAAAAAGAAATCCAACTGGTATTTCATTAGAATTGTGCAAGAACAGATTCATCCAGGGAGAATTGATAGCTATATAATACTGACTCTTGTTCTAGAATAGAACAAACAAGTGAATCAGTTACACTTTGAAGTTTTGTTCTCACAGTTTCTGTACTTTCCTTGTGTTTATTGTTGCCATTGTAAATGAGATAGATTTTCCCCATTATATTTCCTCACCAGTGGTTGTTTCAATATTAATTTTGTATCCAGCCACCTTGCTAAATTCTCATCTTGATTGTAACAGTTATTCTGGTTCATTTGCTTGGGTTTTTCAGGTATGCATTCATACCATCTGCAAATAGTGATCATTTTCCCCATCCTTTTCAATTTTTATACCTCATTTCTTCCTCTTTTCTAATTACATCAGCTAGGACCTTCGAATCAATATTAAACAATAGCCATGTTTGTTACTTTAATAGACAAGCTTGTCGCGATTCTGCATCGAACATAACACTATCAGTAAATATTGCAAGCTTGAGATCTATGATCTTAGCTCCTTTGGCGCTAGAATGAAGCAAAGCCTAAGTGCCAAGGCGTTCCCTAAGGAGCCCTAGTGGCACAATGGTGAAGTGCAAAGCGGCTGCTAACCGAAAAGAGGCGCTTTAGACCTACCCTGCCGCTCTGTGGGAGAAAGAGGTGGTGACCAGCTTCCCTAAGACTACAGTCTAGGAAACAGTGGGGAGAAGGTTTGCTCCATCCCCTGGGGTCGCTGTGAGTCAGCTCCCTAGAGGGCACCAAAAGCAATGCTGCCCCCAGGGCACAGCGCCACCTGGATACCTCTGGAGAAGCTCCGCCTGCAGTGCCTGCTGGCGTGGCCTGAAGGCCACTGGTGTGGCTCATAGTGTGCCGTAAACCAAGTAATTTGTGGTGTGTCTCTGTGTGTGTGTTTTCTCTTTTTCCCATATATATGAAATGAATATATAAAAATGAAGTTAGCTCGTGCCTTTGCTTTTTAAAAAATTATTAGATTCCCATTACTCCCTCCCCAACTCAGAACAAGGTCTGGGACTTTTAGTTTCACATTTCTTGAACTCATATTGCTATTGTAGCTAAAAATTGGAAGAGTGTGATGATGTCAAATATATTAATTTCTATTAGTAAATTAAAATTTTCTCTAGAGCACTCGGTGAGCTCCAGGCCACAGGCCTTTGTATGATGGTTCATGTGCACATATTCTGCAGTGAAGCGGTGGAAAGCCTTTTTGACCCCCAAATGACTTTCGGGACCACTTTCAAAATGCTCTTGTTGCAGGACAATGTGTCAGCAAGTTTGGAGATTTTTCTTTATTTAGTTTTACTGCTAAGTTTGACTTTGAGTACTTCCAAAAATTCTCTTGGGCATTACATTTCTTGAGTTAATATATAAATGTTTGATATTTTTTTCTTTTGTACCTGAACAACAATGATGCTTAGTGTAAACTTCCAGGAGTCACCGTTTTTTGCTGTGTGTTGTGTGTGTGTGTGTGTGTTTTTCCTAATAACATTTTTTTTTTGGGGGGGGTAATGTTTTTCCCTGCATTTTATTGGGAGCACTTAGATATTATAGCAATCCATAGTTCAGTTAGATCAAGAATGATTGTACAATTGCTGCCACCATCGTTTTCAAACATCTTTATTCTGGCACTCTTTGATATCAGCTCCCCTCTATTCCCCCCACCCTACCCTAACTCCCAGGAACCCTTATTACATTAAATATTGTTTTTCCTTTTTTTTCTTTTTCTGTATCTTACAACATCCAACGTTCACTGGCCCTTCTGTTATTAGTTACCCCTTTCCCCTATTCCCCACCCCCCATTCTGTACCCTCAGGGAATCATTACTCCTGTTACTATTTCTGTAGGGTTTATTTACCATGATTTCATGCATTGAGCCATCTTAATTAACCAAATAAACATACGCAGGTCTAACACGATTAATGAGGTAAAACTAAGACCATAATCGTAGGGGGAAGAAATTTTAAAGAACTAGTGGATAGTTATGAGTTTTATCAGGGCTGTCCTGTACCCTGGATATGTGCTCCCTTCTGTGAGGGACTGTCCAATGACCTTACAGGTGGGTCTGGGGTCTCCACTTTGCCTGTGCTCCTTCTCCTCAATTTGGCTGCTTGTTTTTGAACTTATGATACCTAGTCCCATTGACACCTCATGATCTGATAACTTTTAAAAACATTTTCCTAGCCCTAGACAGAGCTAGAGAAAAATGTAAATCCATTCTAATGTCGTTTTGTTTTTCTTCCTTTATTGGTGATGTAATCATTTCACCTAGAAAACAAAGGATTGTGTCTTTCTTTCCAAGGACATTAACTTGCCAAGACATGATTTGATTTTGTTCAGTCTGTTGTCACTTGTTTCCTGAAGCAAATTAATACTCTTGTGTTTAAAATAAAATCTGTCTTTAAACTTTAATCATTTTGGGGAACTTTTCCTGAATGAACAGTGCCTTTGAGGACTTTTTGTTCCATTGGATTGATATCTTCTCAGGAGCATGACTAACATTCATGTTTCATATAATCTTCCTGGCTTTGGGGGTAGCCTTTATATCTTTATTACTTACTTTCCCTTTTCTGTGTCATTTTTATCCTGGAGCCTCTGTGTAACTCCCTTGAACTCTATCCCCACAGAGTCTAGTTTGCATTATATTCTGGGCTTTATTAAATAAGCCTTTGTAATGATTTTCATCTGCTTAGCAGCAAACAATTTCTGTTGTGGATTAGTCATCTGGATTTTCGTGTTATCCTTTCTGCTATTTTTCTGACAACCATTTTTGGAGTAGATTTCTGTCTGACTCATTTTTCCCCTTATCTTTTATAAAATAGAATGTTTTTAATTACTTCAGGGAAGTTGTAGGAGAGGGTCGGTACTTAACTAGCAAGCAGTCAACTGTGCCTCCTCATGATAATACCAATTGATGCGTGTTTGTGCACGAGCACTTGATTGCTCTTTTCTTCAGGGGCTGACAGCCTTCTAAATACCTTCAGGGTCTAGCTTTCAGCACAGGTCCAAAGGTGAGACATTCACTTGAAAACTCAGGATGCTACTGATACCGATCTTAGATAGTTATGAAGATCAAATGAATTAGGACATAAAGTTCCAGAATAGAGCTAGCTGGCTAGGTACTTCCAGGAAATCTAATAAATGTCAGCTGCATCTACAGTGCTAGGAATTGGTTTTTCCTGTTCTTTGTCATTCCCATTTGGTGTCTTATATCTTTTACTCTGAAAGAAGCATTGGCAAATCAGAAAGGAATAAAATGAATCTCACAACCAGTTACTCCTCAGGGAGCACTTGGTCAAACCAGGTGGCACTGTGAAATCCACACGGTAGCATCAGCTCATAGGGGCTCAGAGGTTTCATGGGCAAGTGTGAGGCCTGTAGGGAGAAGTAGATTCTCAGTGCTCAGAATCAACACAAACTTGCCAATATCCAGAGGATAGAGAGCAAATGGTAGAACCATCTGATCCATCAGATCCGCAAAACCAAATCGTGATAACATTTCCTTTGCTTGGAAATGGGGGGATTGGGCATAGGGCATCACTTACTTTCACACACCCTGCTCAGTCATGTGATTTTTCCCTGCATCTCTCCATCCTTTGAGGCATGGCCACTTCACACTGGTTCCCACAACATGCATACCACACAATGTACCTTCTACAGCTGGGGACTCAGCATCCCAGAGGTGTGCCCGAAGTACCCAGCAGAGCCAAGATTTAAGGTCTCACTCTGAACAGGTACACTTGCTGTTTCTCTAGGTCTCTTCTCTTTCTAAACATTTGGCCCATGAAGCTTGTATTGTACTTTCCTGGGGTGGTGAGCCATGGGCTTTGAAGTAGCCATTCTAATCTCCTGTCTCCCCTGCAGCAAGACCTGAGATAGATTCAGTAACCATCATCTTTGGGTTAGTTGGTCTCATCTGTGGATCAATACACTAACCCACTAATAAGCCTTGACCCCCGGTTTTCAACTTGCATCCTAACTAATCATTTACCTCCTGACATAAAGGAAGAAGTCTATTAGCCAATTATCTATCAGACACCTACATTTGCTATTTGCTTAAATTGTTTTGTAGAAAGAAAAATTACTGTACATTGTAAGTAGCCCTCCAATCCTATTTTAAGTATCCCTTGGTAAGAGATTTTTTTTTTAATCAGTAACCCTAATGGCGTAGATTTGTTTTGCCGCAAAGTAACAGCATATGGGATAATTCCACTCCCAGGTGTGTTGTTGTCTGCATTTCACGTCAAGAGTGAAGCCAATCATTAGAGATTATATCCTGCACCATCTGGAAACTGACTTTCATAAATTATTTTTTAGGTCTCCCTTGCCAGAATGAAATGAACAGGATTCAGAAGCTGAGCAAGGGGAAAAGCCTGTTGGGTAAGTACAATTTCTTGCTACTCGTTTAAACAACTAATTAAACCATCCATGTCTCTTGTAATGTTGAGCACAGCAATGGTTATTCAATTAGGGACCAGTGTGTTGTGAAAGAAATACCTTATTCTACCCCGGACACGGCTCTTGCAGGCAGCTGATCTTCTGCCACAGTTAACTGGACACCGCAGACTGGTTAGCTGGCTGGGCAGTGATGGCTGCTCCCATGTCAGAAAAGGATCCAAAGTCAGCCCGTGACTAGTGGGCAGGCCAACAGGGTTAGAATCCAGCACCATCTTCAGTGCAATTATTCCTCAACCTAGGGCTACAAGGAGTCTTGACTTTCTTGTCTTTCAAGGAAGGCCATTGACTAGAAAGCACAACTGGAAAACACACTTCAAGGTCAAAAGACAGACCTGGAACTATTCATAGGCTTTTCTCATTTTTTGTCCTTGTTTTTTTGTTGTTTGGTTTCTTTGGTTGTTTTGTTTTGCTCTGCCTTGTTTTTGTGTTTATTTTTGTCTCTGTGTGTCTATCTAGATAAAATAGGTGGGATAAATGATCTGGAGGAGAAAACAACGGGACCAATGGTTCCGGGGCAACATGGCAGTGGGGAGGCGGGGAAAGGAAATGGGGGTTAACAAACCTAGGGACAAGGGAACAAGTGATCTAAAATCAATGGTGAGGATGCCTGGTAGGGCTTGATCGAAGGCAATGTAACTGAGAGGAATTACTGAAACCCTAATGAAAGCTGAGCATGATAGTGGGACAGGAGGAAAGTCAAAGGAAATAAAGGAAAGAACTGGGAGGCAAAGGGCATTCATAGAGGTCTAAATACAGGCATGTACATATGTACATATGTATGTATGTGTATATATATATATATATATAATGATAGGGACACAGATCTATGTACATATATTTATCTGTTAAGTATCAAGGTAGCAGATGGACATTGGGCCTCTACTCAAGTATTCCCTCAATGCAAGAACACTTTATTCTATTAACCTGGCATTCCATGATGCTCAGCTCCCCAACATGATC